CTCAGCACGGACAATGAAGCAAATGAGGAACACAGAGACAGTGAGGAGCCTGGCCCTGTGTTGACCTAAAGGAAGGATGCTTCCAGACTGATGCACTTCTTCCTCCAAACGTTCTCTCCTATAAATACCATTTCCCCACATCTCTAGATGTCTTAATTCCAATCCCCAAGACAGAGTTCAAATGTTACTTTCTCTTTTTGAGTGTCTCTTACTCATGCCAACTGCAAACCCCATTTTTTGTAGAGGAGAATAGCGTGTAGCTACATTTTTTGTTGTTGTTGTTTGGATCTGTAGACATTCCTTTATCATTTCTTTTTCCCTTCTCTCTAAGAGGACAAGACCCGTATCTCATTAGTTTCGTTAGAAAAACACCAATAGACCTGTGGTTGGTACTTTTACAATGATGTTGTTGTTTACAGCCAGCTCACTGGAATTAGAATCGTGCAAGTTGAAACAGTGTGGTGTACACACTTCATGCTTTCGGCTCTCCTCCGAGAGCCTCCATGAATATCCAGAAGCACCAGAAGCTGGGGACTCAACATGGAGCATGCTCAGTAGGGCTGAAAGACCTGGGTCAGCTGAACTACATTTGTAAGTCAGCACACTAGAACCTGTGATAACATGGTTCCTACCTCTTACTCGGAATGGAATGGTGGATCTGGTAAAACATATAGACTTCTGTGATATTCTTAATTATGATGTAATACTAACTGTATTTGTGGGATTGAGTTGCATCAAATATATTTGATTCTGATTACACTGATACGCTGGATCACCATCCCGATCTCTGGAAGTAAAGAAGTTTCTGGAGTCAGTGTGCTTTATTATAAATCCTGTCTCCTCTTTATCCCCGCTCTGTCATCTTGAACAATTTCTTTAGCCTTATTATTTCTCAGTTTCCTCATTTGTGAGATGAGGTATGAAGCTACTCCTCATGGAAAATGGAATGCATGGTGTAAGAAAGCAGACAGATAAAGTAGCACCAACAGCATTATGACTGGGATGAAGAGGTGGCCCAGCAGTTGGGAATCCAAACTGCTTGTCTAGAGAGCCTGAGTGCAGTTCCCAGCACCCACCAGTCACATTTCACAACTACCTATGACTCAGGCTCTAGCGCGGTGGTTCTCAGCCTTCCTAGTGTTGTGACCCTCTAACACAGCTCCTCATGTTGTGGTGACTATAAAACAATAAAATTATTTTGTTGCCACTTCATAACTATAATTTTGCTACTGTTATGAATCATAATGTATATATCTGATATGTTACCCAAGGGGTCATGACCCACAGGTTGAAAAGCAATGATTTAGAGGGACCTGGCACCTCTGGTCTCCACAGTAATTTGCACTCACCTGCATATGCATACACACACACACACACACACACACACACACACACACGGAGAAGGGGAACCAGATGGAAAAAAGAAACCAATAAAGGTAAAATCATGATATGTGTGTGTGTGAAGATGCTGTAATGAAGTTTATTTGCATGCGAACTTGAAATGTACTTTTTAAAAGCTGCAAAAAGTAATATAAATTAAGGCTCAAAAATATTTCCTTCTCTAACTTATTTCAAGGATTAAAGAAAGAATTCATGTGAAAGTTGTTGTTTTATAAATATTACTGTTTCAATTCCCAGGCAGACAAGGTCCCAAATGAAGAAAATACTTTCCATAAAACAGTAGTGTTTTTCTTAGAAAGTCAAGTCATTGGGACATAGCAATGGAAAAAGGAGGAGGCAGTGGGTTTTAACCTCACCTTGATGGCATTCAGCCCATGGATAGGGTACATGGACTGAGGAGCAACACCCCTCACTGATCCAGAAAAAGAAAACTGTACCGGGAATAGCGTCAGCACAGCCCGACGTGGAATCCACTGTAGACCACATCTGTCTGTGCCAGCTGTTGCCGGTCTGTGTACACTCGCCAAGAATAGCAGCAATGATTTTCACTTTATAGCAACTTCCATCTCTGGATCTCAGAAGAAGGCATCCATGTTGATTAGGGCTCCCGAGATTTTGGCCAAGAATGGGCAGGCTTTGCAGAGTGTGCCACTGTTCTGAGGGAGCCTTCTGGGGTGGAACGAAGAATAAACCGATTTTGGATTAGACCTGCTTTTCTGATCGGGGGTTTTCTTCTCCGTTCCACCCTCTATGTTTAGATAACCTTAAGCACACAGCTTCCCACCTCAACTCTCCTTTAAATAAATAGATAGATGATAGATCTAGATAGATAGATAGACTAGAGATCTTCTTTAGATAGATAGATAGATACATACATACATACATACATACATACATACATAAATACATAGACACATAGATAGATAGACCAGAAATTTTCTTTAAATAAATAGATGAGAGAGAGAGAAAAAGAGAGAGAGATGTGGAGGAACCAGAGATCTCATCAACCAGCAAAAGATATCCAGTGTGCTTTGTTTCTGAAAAACGACAGTGCGGTGAATCTCAAAGTGTCTCCTGAATTTTAGAGAGCCCTTGCTTATTATGGAGAATGAGGTACTGTCATAATCTTTTACCCATCTTTCAGCCAGAACCCAGTAGGAAATCTTCTCATACTGGTCATTAGGGAATGGCCCTGAACTTGAGCTTTTAATATAAAAGACTTTTGTGGTTTTTATTTTCTTCTCTTCTGAGGTTTAGCATTTACCCTTTATCTGACTTTGATAAGGGGGCTGGCCTTCGAACAACAGTTTGATTGTGCTTAATTGTGAATGAAGACATTAAAGTTGGGCATGTTTCTTAGAATTGGGAGCTTTCCTTCTGTACCCAAACCTGCGTAGATGCTTTTCACCTCTTGGTTATTGTCTTTGCGCCGGGAAAGTAGTATTTTCTCCTAAGAAAATTTCCATTGATATTACTTTGTAATATGTAATCAAAGTCCTTAAGAATGAAGGGTAACTGGGGAAAATGTAGACAGGTTAGCAAGCTGGACACCTTCGTCATGATAAGCTTCAGTTTCTAGGGTGCCCATCCCGGGTCCATACCAGGTTCTTCACTTACTATCAAGGTACTGATGCCTCAGTTTCCCCCTTGGCAAATCAGTGTGTCTGCCTATCAAAGTTGCTTGGTAATTAAATGAGTTACTTAATGGGAAATATTTTTTGATATTACCTGGCACCTGCTAAATAGTACACTTTAATTGCATTCAGTCTTCCAAGTTACAAATCAATAAATATGTAAATGAAACCAATGCATGTCTACCTCTCAGATCTCATGAAAGCGTTCCTTTGGTAGAACCGGCATTACACTGCATGGCTGATTGATCAGAAATGGCAGTGCCCTTTGCCTTTAGATTCAGGATCAGAGCGTGATCTTTCTTCCCCCACTACAGCATTGCTGAATGACACTAAGTCATTCATGTTCTATCGCCCACCTTCCTGCCACATTTGAAAGACATCCATAGCTCAGATTTGACAAGTTGTCTGAACATTTAACACAAATAATCATGAGCCCCTGTTAAATACTAGCACATGGCATGTGTCATCTGTGATGGCTCTGGAATAGGGCAACTGTACCCTTTCCCCGTGTGCCCCTCATGTCGTTTCTATGTGAAGAAGCTGTTATTAAGTTTAACCAAAAGAAAAAGATTAAAAAAATAAAAGAAAACCTTGTGAAGTGCATAGAGTAAGTCACATACTTCATATCGCTCTGCCTCCAAAACCCACACTTTCTCCATTACACCACAATCAGTGTTTCTGAAAGTAAAAGGGGCCACATTAGTCTCCAACCTCTGGTATAATTAGCATCTTGCTTTAATCAGCAAGGTTGACTGTCTTGATTAACCTTTATGATAGATCATGTAAGTTTCATATTTCTAAATGAATATATAAAGATAGCTGTAAATCAGTGGAAAAACACCCAGCCAGGAGCAGCAGGCTCCCATTTTACTCCTGAGTCTGCCACCCATGGGTGTGGCTCTCTCTAAATCACTCCCCCATAAGTCAGTTCACAAGCCACTGATTTGATTTCTTTCTTCATAGTGAAGAAAGAAAGGTGGGGGGGGGGGGTGGGAAAGAAAATGGAAAGGGAAGGGAAACCCCAGGCTCATCCTGTGACAGTAAAACTCTGGTGTTTGTGAGCCTTATGCCAGGTTGCTTATGGACTATGAAGGAGCAAAGAAATCAAAGGAAATTTAATCTTACAGCAGTTTATCGTCCCTGAACTCTGTTGCGCCAAGTCCTAATTTAAGCCCCTGGTCCTCTTGCTCAGTATTGGTCACAAGGACAGTTTCTGTCCTCTTGAATCCATATTATCAATGATGTGTTTGCATAGCAGTCAGACAGCCCGGGAACGTTGAACAGTGACATTAATTCTCATCCACCACAGGTTGCAGTGGCTGATCTGGACCATTTTGCTTAACTCATGAGATAAGTACTGTGAACGCACACCTATATTTTAAGCAACTGGGATATATTTGATGAAATAAGTATCTTGCCCTGGGTGCCAATTGTTGATTGATGGATATGGAATTAAATCCAAGGAGAGCCTAGAACTCAAACATTAAGCATTTTCGTCACACTGCTTATAGCCAGCTTTCTGCTTTGTTCCTTTGTTGTTCCTTCATATGCCTTGATTTCCTGACGGAATTGTAAATTGTTGAACTGGATGTGTCACAGCTATTGTGATGACTGCCTTCACACCGAATTAGTCACTAATATTTGTGGGGAATTTAGTGCGGATTTAATTAGAGGCTGCATTTTCCTTTACTGCCTGCATACCCTAGGAATAAATGAGGACTTTTGACTAATTTCTCATTTTGTCTATAAGGATGCCTATCCTCCCAATGTGATGAGCTTCTTCAGTTTGTTTTCCTTGAGTCAAACAAAAAAAAAATAATTTTATGTTATTCACTCTTAAGCACCGTGCCTACCTATCTCCCAAGAGTCCCAGACATCCAGTGTGGTCACCTGTCAGGGGCATACTTGCTTGGACAGGGTGGCCTTTTCACAGAACTAAGCACTGGCCCTTTCTTTGCCTCCCAGGTGCCTTGGATTGCTGAGCAAGACAGCCCTCTCTGACTCAGATGAAAACCGCCTTGTGTTGGGTGAAATGATGGGGAGTTAACCATTTGTTTGCTGGTTTGCGTTTCCCACGAAAAACTCAAAAACAGAAATTTACCTCAGCCATGGAAAGTGATGTGCCAAGCAGCATATTTGCATATTAAAACTGAAAACGAATTTGCATGTTATTTCAGTGTCGTGTGCGTTACGTTCAGGCATCTGTCAATCCCACCCGCTAGAAACAGCTTGTGCAGTGAGAAAGTGTTTCTGTGCATGGAAGACAGAGAAGCTCAGGCCCTCTGTGTTTCCCAGCCTGTCCACACTCCAGATGCCCCCTACTCTCCTGGTTTCCTACTGAAAACACTAAGGAAACTAGAGCCTCATGTTTCAAAAAACATATTTGTTATTTTCTAAAAGTCACTCCTTTTCCTGTATTCTATGTAGACACTTTAAAAGTGTTTTAAAATAAGCTACTTACAATCCAGCCATCCGGCCAACTTTGCTGGACTTCACCTCGTGTCTGTTTTGTTGTTTGTTTTTTATGTTCACAGTCAGTTTGGCATCTACGCTATACACTGTTTTAATATACTCTGACAATTCTAATAGTAAGAAGCAATGAGCAGTCTATGTGCTCAATAATAAATGACTGCAGAAACCTCATTTTGAACAGACAGTGGTTTAGAAACAGAACCAGGTAAGAGACACACTGAGGTGATTATTCAAAGTGTAGTTTCTCCCCAGGCCCAGTGATAAAAGGCTGCAGTGCCTGCGCTTGAGAGGTGGAGTGAAGGATCAGGAGTTCAAGGTCAGCCTCACTGTGTGCCAAGGTCAACACCAGCCAAGATTATCTGCCACCCTGTCTCCATATAAATGAATAAATGGTTAGACCTTCTAATCAATAAGCTTTCTCTCTCGCCCAATGGAACAACACATATCATGAAGCATTTCTTCCAAACAAAGGAGCAAATAGCTATTGCATTTTCCCAGGCAACCAAATTAAGGTGAAACTTTTTCCTCTAGAAAGCCACTACCACGTAGGCGAGGCATAGCAAAGATATAATTTAATTTGAAACAGCAACCTAAGTTTATTCCATTCATCGAACTTCCGTGTTGTCCATCTTTGTGAGGAAAAGACAACCAAAGAGGCCGGATTCAACAGGTCGATTTTAGGCATCACAGTATTCTGGAAACAGCCACTGTTAGCCTCAGGTAGAACAAGTTGAGCGGCATCCTCTCACTCCAGGGTCAGCTTGCTTGCTCATGGGGGAACAGCCCTGGGAGGGCCAAGATAGGAAGCGGTCAGGCCGTTAAACTGTGGCTTCACTTTGCCACTGTCGGCTGAGGTGCCTGCTCGTCTTCCCCGGCTCTTGTCTCCAGGGTGGTGTGTCATCACTGTGGCTCATGTGCCTGGGATGCATCCAGGCAGGAAAGGGAGAGGAAGGGCTACTCCACGCTCCAGCTAACATGAGCATCATGTCACTGTTTTGGGTCTCACTGCCAACACTTCGGAGGACCAACAAAGCATGGCTTTTCCATTGTCAGTTTTAGGAGACTTATGGTCAAAAGGAGTCGTGATGATTATAGAAACTGCTGTGGCAATCTGTGAAAATCAGACATACCACGCTGATAGGAAGATGGTGGGTTACTGGCAGAAGCAGTAAGCAAGCTCTCCGCTCCCTTACAGCACCTGTAAGCGCTCCGTTTCTTCCCTAGCAACTGTAACAGCAATACTTTTGGTAGTGTACAGTGCTTCTTTTTCTGGCTTAGCTCCATTACTCTTCAGCTGATCGATAAGAAAGTCAGTACTAGAAAAGCAAAACCCTAGGAGACGTTCAAAGGTCGTGGAACTCAAAAGTCAGTGAGTGTAGGCACTCACGCTTGACATGGAGACTGGTTAGCTGTGGGCTCTGTTGGAGTGTCAGGAAACCTTGGTGTGCTAGCACTGCACTACCTCATGGATGCCCGGCCGTTTATCTCGGAAGCTTTTCAACCAGCCGCTCTTGCTGAAACACGGGTCATTGGTCCTCTCCTTGGAAGACTATGGCTTAAGAGCTGTGGCTTAGAAACAGCAGCTCACGGCATGAGGACAAGAATGTGACCAAGTAGAGGTGTGGGTTCTCACTGAGAATGGTCAGGCGGGTCCCCCTCTCCTCCACGGCCCTTGCTGTCAGTTTCTATAGCCTGAAACACCACAGGTATCCCAGCATAGCTTCTGCCCTCGGCCAGAAAACGTACTTCATCCCTTTACACTGTGAGGCATTAAGAGTCGAGTGGGACAATCAGGAGGAATCCAGAAGTAAAAGCAGCCACAGAAAATTGCAAAACGCAAGCTTGACACAGCTAGATGGGATGGGGAGGGGGGGTACTATCAGAAATATATTTTTTTTTCTGGCAGGCTTTCAGCTCTAAAATGGGGCTAATTCTACCTTTTGAAAAGAAGATAATTTCAATGTTTCTTTTTACAAGAACACATAATTGAAGTCATTTTCCTTCTAAGAGAAGGAACCTCTTGTACATCATTACAAATGGACAAGAAAAATGAGTGTCTCTGCTACCCAAAATGATAGAGTGTTCATTATCATGGAATCTTTCCGAAGATTTTGGCTGCTTCTTCCTGGTGTTTTATTTGCCTGGGAGTGCTTTTCTGATAAGATTCAGACTTGTAGGAAGTTCAAGTAGGTAGGTTCTTTGCGGATAAGAACTCAGCATCAGGTAAGGGCACAGGAGAAAAATGACCCAAAGCAAGGTCATTGTCAGTAACTTGAGAGGCTGATGCAATAATGGTTACTGAGTGACCACTTTGCAGCACAGATCCTTAGAACATTGAGTTACATGGCCTGAAGGGACCTTCGCTAAAGGGACTGAGTGTTGGCCTGAGAACCTCCACCATTTGTATCTTAGTGAGGGCTGTTTATCATGCATCCTCCTTCCTCAGAAAAGGTACTGGGGCTGTGGTTGCTCATACCTATCTTTCTACCACCTTTGTGGCCAAGGCAGGAGGGCAATGGTTTTGAGATCAGTTTGGACTACATAGCAAGGTTCAGGCCAGTTTGTCTACATAGCAAACTCCACCATTCCATCCCCCCGCCTCCCCAGAAATAAGTGTCGGTGGAAACTTTCATTCTCTACCCAAGGACAGGGCATGGGGGATGAAGTGGTTAACTTTCATAGCGTCTTGATTTCGTAACCCAAGTGTAAGTGAAAGTTCAGTAGGCTGCAGAAGCCCTGCGAGCTGCCCGCTGCTTACTCAGATTTAGAGCACTGAATGAAGCTCGGATGCCTCAAAGGATGCTGACAAGTCGGTTACGTCCTCTTATAATGGAAACCTCTGTATTAATGAGGTTTCCACTGACTCAGTGTGCGTTTACTTTTACAGACTACAAAATATCTCTAAATATAGATATATGTGATTTCACTCTCAAAGTCGACAACGACACACACTTTATTATGGTCACAAACACATGCCGGAGTAAAATCAAGGAATCTTTGAGAGAGTTATATTATAAATGAAGAAACAGGCCCCGGAATTAAAAATAACGCCATAAAGGTCTTCAGTCAAGTTAAAGACAGAAAAAAATATTAAAGGGGCTCCAAATAGTCAGATAGTTTTTAGCCATGTAATAATGTCTTTATATCCTATGTAAGAATATACAAAACACTCCAAGCATCGTGAAATGTTACATGACTTTGCTAGGTGGAATTTGCTATTTGCCTTTTTATTAATATGGTGAAATTTCCTTGTTCATCAAGGATTCTGTCATTTGCATTTCCGTTGCAGAATCCACTCTTCATGATTGCACAGCACCAGCCGTAATAATTAGGAAAAACCTAGACTTGGATATGACTGCATATCTGGCACCACGATGTCTTTTCTAGTGGCAGTTACCTGGGCAACAGTTTATTAATGTGGACCAGAACATGTAGATACTTGGATCTTTTATCTGAGAAAAAAAATATGTTTAAAGTAAGGGAGCTACAGAACGGCATAAATAGAATAGCATCCCTCAGTTTCCCATGACTCTCAGCACTGGCCCTAGAAGATGCTAGTTTCCATGTTCCCTCTAGTGTGAAGAGGCTCGGCCTGCGGAGTAGAGGCCAACTCTTCGTCCAGTAACTGATGGACTAAGCCTCCACCTTCTTGTGTCTTTAATGGCAACTTCTACCTGAAACAGGGAATCAGCAATACTTCCTGTGTGCCCAGAGACAAGAAAGAAGTCGGTAATTAGTCACACTGAGTAAATACCAAAGAACTTTGAAATTGTATTAGTTAGCAAATTGCCTAGAAATACCCTCATGTCTGGGTGAATTTTTAGTGTGTGTGCGCATGTGTGCGTGCATGTGTGTGTGTGTGTGTGTGTGCGCGCGCGTGCGCGCGCTTGTTCACTCAAATGTGTGCATGCACATGGGTGTAGCGGCCAGAGTACAACCTTGTGTGTCCTTACTCAAGTCCTTCACCTTCTTTTTTTTTTTGTTCTTTTTTATTGTTGTTATTATTGTAATTACATTGCCCTGGTACACATGTGGAAGGCTGAGGTCAGCTACTGGGAGTGGGTTCTCCCCTTCCACCATGTGGGTACCAGGGATACCCTCTAAGAGAGGAGCAGGGTTGGGTTGGGAACAGGTGGGTACCTTAACTGCCCCCAGAGCCACCTTTCTGGGCAGTGGTAGGTTTGGTTGGGTTTTGTTTTGCATTTATTTATTTGGAGGAGGGTGCCATGGTGCTCACTTGGAGGTCAGAGGATCACTCTTGGGTGTCCTTTTACCTTCTACCATGTGAATCATCTGGATAAAATTCAAGTTGTCAAGATTTGTAGCAAGTGCCTTTATCCCTAGAGCCCCCACCTTGTTTTTGTTTTTCTTTTGTTTGTTTGTTTTGTTGTTATTGCAGCTCACCAAGTAGGCCTGGCTCCGCCTCCCTAACCCTGAGATTACAAGCATCACACCACAATGACTTTTTTTTTAAATCATAGATACTGTGGATTGAATTAAAATCCTCATGGTTGGAAATCAAGTTGAGCTATTCCTCCAGTCCTGACTGCATTTTTAAGTAAACTTATGATATAAAAGTATTCTGCTGTATTCGTAACTTTAACAGAGACAAATCTTGAAAATCTAATAA